TTCTTCTTCGAGCTCTGCTGCAGCCCTTTGGAGCATCATGCTGAAGAAATACTGATGTGCATAAATCACATTCAGCCTTTGCAGTAATAATGGAAAAGGGGAGGGCACACACCCTGCAATAACAAGCAAAGTACAGCAGCTTTCCCTCAAAGTGGTGTCTTCTCAATGGCCATGCTAGCTGAGGGTGAATGGGATTTGTAGTCCATCACATTTGAGGGACAATGGGTGGAAAATACCACTCTTAGGAAGGGCAGGAAAGCTGATGGAAATTAAGAGTACTGCAGGCTCTCAAGCCTGGTTTACAGAATTAATTCTCACACATTTGGGGCTAAACCCCTGGATACATTTACAGCCTTTTCATTTCTGCTAAAGTCAGTGCGATTAATCTACAGAAAAGAGTTGGGAAGGGACCTCGATTTTACCAAAATCTCAGTTTTTTTTCCCTTCAAATCAAATTATTACAAGCTCCCAGCTTTCCAGTGATCACTACTATGGACAAATTGCTAGTTTCCTTTTTTTTTTTTTTTTTTAGCGTATTATACTTCACGACTGGGAAATTTCTTGTCTTCCAGATGTTGTATGCCCGTTTCCATAAGTCCCCTCCAGAATGGCCAGTGATCAGATTGATAATAGCCCAGCAACATCTGAAAGGTCACAGGTATCCAGACCTGGAATACTTCATTACCTGATTAACTTCTGTTATCACAGCTCTCTTTTATGTTCTACATTACTGTGTATTTGTCACTTTCCAGCACAGATCAGTATAAGTTCATGCATCCTTGTCATAAAAAGGGGATGGATATAATAACATTTTAAGCACAGAAAAGAAGTTGTGTGGAATAGTTCTCGAAGAAGAGGTACAGAAGGAAGTAGGAGATGTAATCTTACCACATATAAATCAAAATCTGCTTTCATGATACTGGATTCTTGTCTACCAGTTTTTAACATTTTATGAATATATTTAGATGCAGTCTAAGTAAATACAGAATGGTTAAGTACTCTGTAAAAGGGCCTAAATACTCTAAGGGCACCAGATCCTGTCTGATCTTGGGAGCTAAGCAGGGTTGGTATTTGGATATCCCAGTGGATACCAAGGGCCCACTGTATTTCAGAGGAAGGATCTGTCAAAAATACCTCTTATTCTTTGCCTAAGAAACCCTATGAAATTCAAGGGACCACCATAAGTCCATATACAACTTGAAGGCACATAAACACTCACAGGCTTACAAAACCTGTGTGGTGTTTTGTTTGTATTTGCTTTGATTCTGGACCTTTTTTTGTATTAAATTTCAACAAGCACCTAAAAGATTTCAAAGCCAAAATCACCATTACACATACAGTAGCCTCTCCCAATTCATGGGGAATCCATTCTGGACTCCCCCCCCCCCGTGAAAATGATGGCTCACAAATATTCGAGCCCCATTGAAAATAATGGTGCATGCACCCATGGCATACCCCGCCATTTTATCTCTCCCCACTTGTCCCTACCATGAAGAGCAAAACCGCAGACTTGAAGTCCACAAATGGGGAGAGGCAACTGTATGCACACACATATGGAGAGAAAGAAGGAAACAGTTTATTAATATGAGTGCTGTGTATAATTTGGGTGCTGTGCTTCCCTGCCTTTTCTAGAACAGGTTTGGGGAAAATGTGTCTTTCTAGATATTAGTGGCCAGCAATTCCCAGCATTTCTTCCATTGGCAACGCTAACTAGGGGCTGCTGAGAGTTGGAATCCAACAACAACTGGAGACCTGCAACTTGTCTATCCTTGTTTAATGGCATATAATGGTCTAAAATGTTGGGGGCTTAGAACATATAGATAGGGAAACAAGAAAGTAACTAGTTACAAAATTGTACCGTATAGGATTTGTGGGCTGTTGTTGTTGTTGTATGCCTTCAAATCATTTCTAACTTATGATGACCCTAAGGTGAACCTATCATGGGGTTTTCTTGGCAAGATTTGTTAAGAGGAAGTTTGCTATTGTCTTCTCCAAGACTCAGAGCATTGATTTGCCCAAGGTCACCCAGTGGGTTTCATGGCCAACTGGGGAATTGAACCCTGGTCTCCGGAGCTCTAGTCCAACACTCTAACCACTATACCATGCTGGCTTTCACAATTTATATGTACAGAAAAATGAAGTGAGAATCAAGTGGTAGAGTTCTTAGGTAGTAAAAAGAGGTATACCACTGAAGGCTACAGGAGGTGCATGAATGCTTCCATGAAATGGTGGCTTCTCTGTCATCACACTGATCAACTCACTCCAGTCTTAGGGCCTTATCACATTACAAAAGGGGGCAGCAAGTGGCTTTCTGCTTACCTTCCCACATGTCATCATAGTACTTCTGTTCTCCTTCCAGAGGGAGCTGGTTATAAAAGCATAGCTTTTGCCAAATGGATTTTTTTCCAAGAGGACAAAAGGCATGCATTTATGATCATCTCCCTTGACAATAGAACAGAAGTGCTTTGGGGACATGTGGGAAGATAATCAGAAAGCTACTTCTATCTCGCTGCCTCTCTCTCTTTTGTAATTTGATAAGGTCCACAGTTTGAATGGTAAATGAGCTGTCCAAGGTGCTGAACATATTTAAAGGATCAGGTGCACCACATTGAGTAACTACTTTAAACTTCAGACTGAATCTTGGAGTGGAGTCAGTGACCCACTGACATGGAACAGCCACCGGGACTTTAATACTGGATGGAAACCATTTGAGGTAAATATAAAATTAGCATAATATAGAGCTGTTACAATAATTGTTTTAATATATATATAAAAAAAACCTTTGTGGGTCTCCTGCCATGGCCCTAGACTGGGGAAGCCCAACTGCCATGGATCTGAAGCAAGGACCTCATGTAGGCACCTGAAAGGTCACACCTGCACTTACAACAATTAGCAGATCAAAAGGGCCAGGCTTAGAAGCTGCAAAGGAGGACATTTGCACCTAGGAAATTTATGAGTACCAGCCAGGATGTGTCCGGCTGAAGATGAGATAACATTAACATCCCATCTCCTCTTCTTGGAAAAGAATAGTAATCCAGAATCCTTTGATATACGATAGCAACTCTTCAACTCAGGCTAGGTTTAAGGATATAAAAGATCCCCCAAATCACAAGGACATTGGGTCTAGTTAGATTTCATGGTGACACTGTGCCACTGTTAACTCTGACTTGGATC